CCTCCAACTCCCAATGCTGCTGGGCTGGGTAGGGACCCAAGGCTGTGGCAGGGTCAGGTAGTGGTGTCTGTGCAAACTGGGACTCTCTTCAGGATCAACCCAGGTATTGGTACCCCCAGCTACAGGTTGACCTTTGTATTTTTGGCTTTATTTTCCTTTGGAAAAGGCCTCTCTGAAATACTGGAACACCTTAAGAAGGCAGAGGTACGAGGGGTGCTGCCAGGACACCTGAGCAGATGTTCAGCCTCCAAGTCCTCAGCGTGTGCCAGGATTCAGCATGTCCATTCATGCATGTTAACAACAGGCTATAAATACTCCAGGTCCTCCCCGGCTGCCGGCGCCTGAGCCTGGCAGGAGGGTGTGTGAGGACGAGCACTCACAGCTGGGGTCACCAGCACAGCTCCCAGTGCCCCCCATCCCACCCAGCCACCGCTGGGCTGCCCTGGCACATGTCGCAGTGAACTGGTTCATCCACTATGGTCGCATGGGCAGCCGAAGGCTCCGGCTCACAGGGGAGAGGATCAAAATTGTCTATGGAAAGTCTTGGGGCTGCCACCACCCCTTGGAGGAGCTCCCATCCTCTGACTCCGCTGATGGTGGACATCTCCTGAAGAGCCCTTGTTTGCAAGGGATTGGAATTGTTTTCCTTCCTGCACCGCACACGGAGCTGCAGCCTCTCCAGAGCTGCTCCGGCTGCTGTCTCCTCTGCTGCATGGAGGTGGCAACTCCAATGGAAATTTCCGTGCACTTCAAAGCACTACCTCAGGATATCTGCTTTTGTGAGAAAGTATCCCCAGTTAAAAATTAATGAAATTCACTTTTAGGATCATTTACTTTCCTCCATCTGAACAGCAGGATTTTTGCCAGCCTCTCCCCACAGGGAACGCAGAGCGTTCCTGCTTTGGCACCTTGGGGACCTGGCCTCTGGTGATTAGATTGCCAGTTAATATCAGTGATTAACACATTCACAATGGCTGGCTGAATCCCACTCTGACATTTTGCAAATGCTGCATGTTTGGGGAGTGTCTTCATCAGCTTTTGAAGTTCTGAGCTGTGAGCTCCCTGCAAACCCTCAGCCTGCACTGGAAACTGGGGCTGGGCCATAAGAGCAAACATGCCCCAAGAAGCAAACATATTAAGGATTAATTAAATACCAGGCTTTATTTAACTAAGCCTCTTCTCATAAGTATGTAGAGGCAGGAATCTGGAGTGAGCATCCATTTTTAGAAATGCAGTTAAACTTGGTGCTGTTTAAACCTGACATTGGGGTGCTGTACATCCCTCCTGACTCCCCAGTGCAGGAACAGACAGCACAGTGCTGATGAAAGGTGGCTGAGGGCATTCCCAGGGTTAAGAATGTTTCCTGTTCCCACATACGACACCCACCCTGGGGAGAGCTGGAAGCCCTGCAAGCACCCAAAGACTTTCTGGAGTCCACAGGGGTGACAAGTGCCAGCCCTGAGCAGTGGCAGGGACCCGGGGATGGCTCATCCTCCTTCTCTCCTCTCATCATCATGTTTTTTCATGAAAAGCTTATCCCTCCTGTTGTCTGCTCCACAGGCTCCACAGACAGTCCTATCAGTGCCAGTTTAAAGGTCTGGAGATCGATCCAGGAAATACCAAGGCAAGTGAATGAGATCAGGTCCAAGGTCATTTTTAGGTCCTGTTCAGAGAGCACTTCCTTGCCTTCCACATCCCCCACTGGCAGTGGAGGATCACACACAGCTGTAAACCATCACCACTGTGTCCCAGCTCCAGGCTGTCCTTGTGCCAGGGCCCTCTGGGATTCTGGGACACAGTGGAGCTGTTCTTCACCTTCTGTAGAGCAGAGAGCTGGCTCTGGAATGGGCTCAGGGTGTGTAGAGCTGCTTCAGGGTCTGAACCTGAGAAAGGGCAGTCACAGGAAAGGGCCACTCCCAGTGAGATCAGGGCAGTGGGGGATATGCTGGGATATGAAGGGATGTGGAGGGCTGGTTTTCAAGCATTGGTCATACCTCTGCAAACCCCCACCTTCCCCCTGCCCGTGACAGAGATGCTTGGGCACAACACGCAGGATGCCCTGTGGAATCCGGCATCACCCCCCCAGACAGAGACCCGGATCTCAGAACAAGGATAACAGCACTCAGCATCCCACTGTTCCCCCAAAACAAGCACCTCTGGGTGCAGCACAGACAACCCCCAGTGCTGGCAGAAGCAGCATTTTGGGTGCTCCCTTTTTGGGATATCCCTGTTCTCTCCCTTCCCAGGGACGCACAGGCAGAAAGAACAACCAGGGTCTTACTGATTGGAAAATACATTAACCATAGAGAATAGAGCTTTAATTTTTCTTTCTGAACAACAATAAGGAACAGTTTACATAAAAAACAAAAGCATGAATAAAATAATATAAAACAGATATTATACCACAGTGTGGAATTCAGATAATCTAAGAACATTAGCAGCACTTCTACAAAGAGATTAAAAGCCGTAAGTGCTCGTTAAGCTCAGATAGAGCAACTCCCAGAGACCAAAATGGCATCAAAACAGAGAAAAGCAGCAATTCAGTGTAGGGCAACAGAAAAGTCTAATGCCAGGACATCAGATACATTCAAATCCCTGCACTGAGGGGCAATTCCCTGTCCCAAAGAGCCTGGGATGGTGTGTGTCCCCCTGTGATGGCTGTGGCACCCACTCACCCTGCCCAGCTCTCCAGAACACTCCGTGCATGAGGGAAGTGACAATCGTGGGTCTGAGGTTGTTGGATTTTCAACAAGAGTTTTCATTAATTCTGTTTGGGAAAATAGATTCTCCTTCCCTGGCTCCTGGGAATTACTCTCCAAGGAGAAACTGAATTTCTGAGAATTTCAGTCAATCTTACATAGCCATGACAATAAAATCTTTATTCTCTCAGTATCCAGGATCAGGATTTTCAATTCTTTATCGTCCTTGGCAGCAAAGCCACACCCATTCCTAAAACTTCCATGTACTTAAGATCTTGTGCATAGTTTAAATTTTAGCATTGATTAAAAAAATAAATTGATTAAAATAAAAGGATAAGTGGTGCTTTTCCCCCCTTATCAAAGAGTTGATGCAAAGTGCCCTTGCTCCTAGTCATGTCCTACTACTGATGGCTCAGGAGCCACCATGGAGAAGGGACCATCACCTGCAGCTCTGTCTGGGCTCTGCTCAGCCTCCATGTGCAAAATCCATTTATAAAAGGAAGTTATTCAACTACTGAACGGGAATTTAAGGTATCACTAATCTAAAATTAGACACATTAGAAGACTTCCATGGCTATTCCAACAGCGAACATTCCCTGGGAAGTTCAGAAGGAAGTCACACACCGAGCTATGTGAACAGCACCGGAACAGCCTCAGTTGTGGCCCACACAGCCACCAGAGAACAGAAACATTGTGTCACTGGGGACCACGACAATTCAGGTGCCTTAATCACTGAAACAGGATTATTTGGGGCAGGTAACGAGGGTACTGAACGTCAGTGAGATCAGAGGAACATCTGATCTACTTCAGGGTGTCTGAAAAAACTTTTACAGGAATTTCTGACACAGAGTGTCAGAGTTCCAACCCTTCCACAGTGCTAGAAAGTTGTCACTCCATCTCTACATTGTGCTCTTTCTCTATCAATTTGTGCTCATACAGTAGTAAAATGCTGAAGACGTGCCCAGAAGTGCTGGGTACTCAGGGAAAATCCTAAATGGAGTGAAAAATAAGACAGAGGTTTTGATGACATGAAAAGTATTTTGGTCCTACTGATCAAAGGCTCAGAGGCTCCCATTGGCTGAAGATCAGTGCCCATAGAAAGCAATGATTTAAGATACTATAAGATATTTTTAATAGCAAACTTAGGTGATGAGAATCCCAAAACTAGTCCCATCCCTGTTCTGAAACCTGTTGGCCACAGTGGCTCCCAGGGGACCAGGCAGCTACTCAGGATAAACTGGGAAAGAGAGGGAAAGTAGGCAGGCAGGGTAAAATATATAACAAATAAATAAAGAACAAAGAATGGGAAGAATCTCATTCCATAAATTGTTCTTGGCCACAAGGCTTATGTCTCCAGGGTGGGATTTTGGGATGGGCTCAGCTTACCCATGGATGGGTTCCCAGCAGATCTGTGATCCCAACCTGCCACATCAAGAACATCCCTTCCCTTGGCCTGTTTTTCACTCATCAGTGACAATGGTTGACACCTGCAGTCCCACTGCTGGCTCCAGTTGCACTACAAGGTGCATTTGGATAAGCTAAGGGATGTTCACCATGTCAGGGGCTGGATGAGAGCAGGACAGGGAGGCAGCAAGAATCTGTCATGTAAAAAACCCCTCTCAGTCCTCATGAAAAATGTTCACAGCAAAGCAACTCAGAGTCTCAACATAGCAAGATAAAAACTCCTAGAAAAATCACACATTTTAGGAACAAAGACAATTTCTAAAGGGTCTGCATGAGTTAACACCAAAAGAGATGGGTACCAGGAGCTCCTTGGAAGGTTGCATCAGCAGAAAGCTCAAATGCAGGCAGAGAATCCATTAGTCACTCCCTCAGGGGGACGCGGGGCCAGGACACAAACATTCACTGGATTTAAACACACCAAGATTATCTGAGCAGAGCAACTCGAGCATGAGATAAACCCCAAACCCCACAGCTCTGCGGATGCTCAGTGAGGTGTGATGGGAGCCGAACAGCTCAGCCTGTGGAGCACATCCTTCCTCAGGCTCAGCTCTGGAGCGACCCAGAGCTGAGAACAGGGCTGGCAGGAAGTGGGATGCAAACCTTGCTGCACCCCAGGGAAGAATGCAGCAGTCTCATCAGAAAGCATGGAATGGTTTGGGTTGGAAAGGATCTTACAGCCATCTCAATTCCAACCCCCTTCCACCAGACCAGGTTGCTCCAAGCCCCGTCCAACCTGGCCCTGAACATTTCCAAGAATGGAGCAGCCACAGCTTCTCTGGATAACCTGTGCCAGGGCCTCACCACCCTTACCGGGAAGAATTTCTTCCTGAAATCCAATTTAACCCTGCCCTCTGTCCGTTTAAGGCACAGCAGCTCCAGTCCCTGGTCCCACAGAACCAAGAACAGGCTAAAGATAGTCCCCAGCTCACAGTGCCATTGCAGGGGGGGGCTCAGCTGCACGGAGCTGCTGGGGTGAGACATTCCTCTCCCCCAAGGAGCCAGACAAGATTGCTGTATATGGACAAGCACTCCCTGGTGACAGGCTTCTCCTCCATGGCTGCACAGCTGGGAGAAATCCATGCTGGATTCCAAGGCCACGATTCCCACTGTCGGAACCCCAGCACAAGGCTTTATCTCAGGGTGGTCTAGCTTGGGGGCAGAGCCATGCAGGAAAGGCTGGGCCAGAGAATGCCCACAAACAGCTGCACAACAAACCTTTTGCTTCCATTTTAGGAGTTTATAGCCATCAGAGCCCCAAACCTGGGGGTGCCTTGCTGTGGGTCTCCACAAGCACAAGAACCTGCCCTGGAGGGCCCAGCACAGCTGCCCCCACTGAGACTTGGGAAAGATGTCCAAACCAGAGCTGGGACCAGGCATGGACAGGGCCAGAGCACAGGGATTGTCACAGACTGATTCTGACCTCCTGGGAACACAAAGCTGGACCTCCATGTTCAGACTCAAGTGCTCACAAGAATTTAGTGAGCAAATGGTTTTCCTGATGTTTGTAGGGATTGGGGTGGAGCAGCACATGGGGCTCTGCCTGCAACAGGGGCTGGTGAGGACTCAGTTCCAATGTTCTACATGGGCCAGGGACACTCCCTCCCTACCCAAACAGGGTGGCCAGACACTTTTATCCTAAATTAAGTGACAGACTCCTCTTTGGACTATCTAATTTACCTAGGACACGCCAAAACCCAACTCTGCAACTGTTCTCACCCAGCAAATCCCCGGGCAAGGCACAAGACCCCACACAGCTCGAGCAGAGTAGCTCCTGCACACTCAGCACCATCTTTCCTCCTTTTGTTCTTCCTTTCCAGTTTTAAAGTCAGAACTAAGATGAAGCCAAGCTGAGGTCACGATGGTGGTTCTGCTCTGAGCTTCCTGTTGCCCCACCACAACAACTCTCCCAGAAACAGACTGGCACATCATGGAAGAGGTGCTATAGAAACCACACAGTTCTTAGAAGCAAAAGATTTCTCACCCCCCCCTCAAAAAATAACCCACTTAATTCACATATTTTCTCTCTATACTGTATATATATTATATATAGACACGGTTCTCTGGTAAACATGTACAAGATATCGTAAAGAACATTGAAAATGTCTATCTCCATTTGCACAACAGCACACATTCACACGCCAGCACACGAGGACACACAGTCAGGTACAATCAATAAATAAATACATTTTTTTCCCCTCGGAAATTATTCAAAAAACACTGCTATTGAGCGGCCCAAAGACACTCTCAGTTAATACAGACAGCAAATATTGTGCAGAATTTCTTGGCTGTTTTTGTTTAAGAACCAAGGAAAGAAGCTTCAAAGATGTCAGAGATGTTGCTTGGTCAGACTGTGTTTCAGGAGACCTGTCGGTTCCTGTCCCTCAGGAAGAGGAGGGCAGAGCACTTCCCTTCCCCTCTGGACAGGTTACACGGGACAATTCTGTCCTAGAACCTCGAGGGAACAGGAGCGGTCTGGGATGGAGAGAGGGCAGGAGCTTTTTGCTCTGCTTAGTGGAAAGATGGAAGATTCACACAGGAACTGGCAGATCTGAAGCTCTTTGTTTCCTGAGCTGCTTACAGACCAGCACCCTTTGGGGATTTACTGCAGGAAACTCTTGCAAGGAATTTCCTAGATCATTGTACACATCTGTTGGGATTATGAGGAGCAAAGGGCTGCCCATTGCTCTCCCCCTTGCCACAGCCTCTTCCCCCAAAGGTTCAGGATGTGCCACTCTCCCTGCCTTTTCCAGCTGTGACCTCCATGTCCCAGCATACAGAAAGTGCTCATTTTTCCACCCCATTTGCTCAAGCAGCAAACCACTTCACCACGCTCCACAGAACCTCCCTGAAGCAGCAGTTTTCTCTTGTGCAGATTGACATCTGTTTTCTGCAAGCAACATCTGACACGTGCCACAAGCCAACACAAAACAGCACAGACACGGGAGAAGGGAAAGGCCCTTTCCCTTCCGTGGGCAGCACTCCAGCAGCAAGGCAGGAGCAGGGCCTTCCCTTGCAGAGGAGTGGAGGAGAGCACACACACATCACACATTGCACAGAAGGGGAACACAAATTTTTGCAGCAAAACTTGAGAGAAAGTACCCTTAGAGAGAGAGGGCTCCAACCCAGTGCCTGCCCCATGGCCACAGCACAGCCCCCCCCCCCAGCTGGGCTGGACCCTCCAGCCACCCACACCTCTCTTTTGCCTGTATTGTTTTTACCTGAGTTGAAAAATGACTCCGACCCCTCTGCAGGGCTGAGGACACAGCAGCTGAGAGGCACTTCATGCAGCGGGCTCCAGCCCCAACACTGGAGCCACTGCAGGAAAAGTGGCCACACAAGTGCATCTTCCCAAAGCAAAGACCACTCAGAGACCTTGGGCTATTCTTCTCTTCACAGACATGTGGGGGAAGCCCACCAAGACCTAACTGGAGACTTTTGGTGGGCTTAGGGGGCTTGGCAGCACATGGAAAACCCACAGGCACCAAGGGGATTGTTTGCCCTGTCGAGCTTTGAGCAGCCGGTCTTAATGGCCAGAGGAGAAGACAGGCACCATCAGAGGGAAAGCCAAGATAATCAGGAGCTCTGACTTGCCTTCTGAGGAGCCCTCTCCTCACAGGGGCTGCAAAGGAATGACAGGGAGACCAGACTCCTACCACAAGCAGCTAAAGTAAGGCAGGTAAGAAAACCTCCAGCTGGGAGTTCCCAGAGGAGGTCAGGACCAGATTTCCCAGTGTTCAGAGAGGGTTACAGAAAAAACAACAAACCCAGTGCTGAGTTTGGAGCTGTTCTGAAAATCCATCCAGAGATGAAACTGTTGTGTGCTCAGATATTGTCGGAACAATGTAAAATCCCAGGGAGAAAACAGAGCCTTGGAAAATAAAATACTGAAGGGGATGCAACGCATCAAGGGACAAGATCAAAAGAGGAATTTCTGTGATCAAAGTCCCCCCTGTTACTGGCAGAACCTCATCATGTTGGTAAGCAGCTGAGGAATGGCAGCATCCCTGTGCTGTCTGGGCTCACAGACTGGCTGCCTTCCCACTGCCAGGAAGCAGCTTTATGTCTGTGCCACAAAGGGTGTGGAGTTCTGCTCTCCCCACCCCCGAGCTCTGCCCTGGGATGCTGGCAATGCCTGGGCAGTTGTGGTGGGCACACACCTGCTGCCCTTCTGCTGCAGCAAGGCCAGGAAGTGACTGCCTGGTCCTGCTCCCGACGGGTAACACACACCTAGACGGATCTTTGGTTGAGTCACTGCAGAAGGTCTGAGCTGGGGCCCCTGGCACAGCACTTGGGGAGCCGAGGGTACTCCCAGCTCAGCCAGCAGCACGTGTCCCACTGCCTGAGTTCCACAGGTGTGGCACTTGGAGAAAGAGGAGAAAGGAGGAAGCATCGGAGGGGAGTCCCGGCTCTTTGGATCCCTCGTCTGCCCTGTGTCCTTCATTTGTTCTCAATCAGAGTCTGCACTTTATAGACAAGGTCCCGAGCCAGCTTCAGGATCTGCTTGGTGTTGTGTCGCTCGGCCATTTCTGGAACACAGACAGAGGAACCCAGAGAGGTCAGAGTTGAGCAGGCCCAGCCCCACAGCTCCTCATCTGAGCCCCAGGTGAGAGCTAAAGCTGTGAGCTCCTGCCTACATTCCCAACACCGTCCATCACAGAGACACTTGGCTCTGGAGAGCTCCTCAGGATGGTGGTAGCCAGCAGGAAGCATAACCTACATTCTCAGCTCCCTTCAACATGTCCAGGTGGGCCAGGGCTGAGGATGGCATGGGGATTCCCCCAGCACCACCAGACCCCCCAGAGCCCAACTGTTTAGGGGCACAAGGGCTCTACCACCGCGTTCCACAACCACACACTGCTTTGTGTGTGTTAAACATTTACAGCAGAGCCCAGACACGACTGCCTACACCCAGCCACGTGCTGCACACATCTGAGCAGCTGCCACAGATTCAGCCTGACAGAACACAAGCTGTACCGTTGAAAAACTTGATGATGTCTGTGAAATCCATGTTGTTCTCCAGGATGATGTCCCGGTACATTTCCACCAGGGCCAGGGCTATGAAGAGCACGTAGTGAGCAGAGGAGACGTGTGCGGCGGCCCAGATGGTCTCCCAGACGGCGAACACGTCGTCGTACACCAGCTCTGAGAACAGAACAGCCCAGCACTTACCACACCAGCCATGGCTTCACACCATCCTGACTCACAGAGCTCACAGCAGCGCTGGGGAGACACGCTGGGAGGCTTCTTTCCACGAGAACCTGTTCCGGCTGGAAGCGATAAGTCAGTCACCTGTACGGAGACACATTCTGGCCTGCAGCAGGTGGCACAGGCCTCAGGACACACTCCTGGTGAGGCTCAGCAGCAGCTCTGGAAAAACAGGTTCTGCATCTAGACGGAACAGTCAGCCCCATACAAGCCAGGGAAAAGTGAAAAGTAATTTAGAGTTAAGTTTAAACTACTAATTTGCAGAGTGTGCTGAGAAGCCTGGAAGCCTGGCAGACCCTGCCCACCCCCAGCCTGGGTGGTCTCAGCACACACCTCTCTTGAAGTCCAGGAGAAACCATCGGTAGCAGAAGTAGAAATGAGTGTAATCCCCATTCTGGTGCATCAACTCAAAGAGCTCAGAGTCCAGAATCTGTCAAGAAAAGCAAAAGGAAACTCAGCAGTGCGCACAGGAGGCCACAGCCATCCTTCTGCCTGCTTCCCTCTGCTCCCACTGCTTTCCTACTGCACCAGCTCCACCAACTCATCCCTCCCTTTCCTGGCACACATTACTCCAGGCTGTCTTTAGAGCCCCTGCTCTCCCCTCTTGCTTCCCACCACTGAAACCCCTCTCAGCCCTTCCAAGACCCCCATCCCACCACCAGCTTTCCCCCTTGGGTGTGAGAAGCCACTGTCCACATGCCAGGACCCCTTACCTGGATCAGTGACCTCATGTTGGCAAAGTGGGTGTCCATGGCTCCTCCATGGGGGAAATTCTGATTCATCCTCTTCATCAGCTCGGTGAAACAGCTGAAAGCCAGAGCCTCTGTGCAGGGAGGAGAGACACCACTGCTGGGCTGCACAGGCTCTGCTGCACCTGCTCCCACAGCCACCTGCAGCAGGAATATCCCTCCAAAAAGTCCACCCTGTCCCCAGGTTGGGCTCCTGGGAGCCAGACAGCACCAAGGACAAAGGGGATCATGCTCCCCACCTCTAAGCATGGGACCCTCTATGCAAAGAGCCACCACAAGCCTGGCAGATTCCCCCACATGATCCCACAAAGGGACAGGGAAAGCAGAGCCACTCACTCACCATCATCCAGGATGACCAGGAGAGGGGCCAGCAAGTCACACATCCCCTGCACGTAGCCAATCTCAATGTGCTGCCAGATGTAGCTGTGTGAGAGAGCAGGAAAGGTGACCAAGTGCCACTGCCTGGTACCTCCTTTGCCCGTGCCCTGCCTCCCTTCCTGGGATGAGGGGGGAAATCTCACCTGTTTATTCTGTTATCTTTGTGTTGTAAATTATTAAATTCCAAGTCAGGCATGCATGGCACAGTCCTGGATTGACACCCTGCCATGGCTATGTCCCAGGGTGTCCATTCAGGGCTGTGCCATGGCCATTGCATGGAAAAATCAGTGCAGGGAAAAGCAAAACTGGAAAGCGCAGCACAGTAGGGTCATTGGTTAAAGGACAGAGACTGATGGAATTTGTTAATTTATTTCTCATTCTCATCCCTCCCCCTCAAATCATCCTCTTGATTCTCTGTGCATAATACTGCCTGCCTTGCCTTGCCATTCCCAGTGTCCCAGGAAGCAGTCGGCCCTGCAGGGATATCTTCCCTTATTTGGTAGCAAGTCAAAATGCGTTCAGAAAGGGCTCGGATCTGCTGCTGGCACAAGGGAACGATCTTTTCCAGCCTGACCACTGGTTTTCCAAAATCTGCTGTACTGAAGTTCTAATCTCAGCAGAGATCTCCAGCTTTGGCTGTCAGATGAAGTGACAGCGCTGATGGAACAGCAGCTTCTCCTCATGTTTGCAGGATGAGTAATAATATTTTATCCTTTCCTGCCCGTGAAGCAGTGGCTGAGCTGGAGCGGGTCTGAGTTGGTGAGTGTCACTCAGCCAGCTCTGAGTCACAGGGACTCAGCAAAGACACTCAAAAAAGGACCCATGTCTGGCTCTCTCCTGGGGTTTTGGGTAGGCAATAACCATTCCAGCAGTTCAGGTACTTCCTCATTAGCACTATGGCTCTGTGAGCTTGTTAAAGCCTTTTCCAGGCATATTCCAGAGAGCAGGTAGGCTAAATCCAGTGCAGTAGGTGCAGGCAGCTCAGGCAGCCTCTACCTTGGCCAAAAACCCAGCACATGACAGTCAAGGGACAGCTGGACACCTCTAAGCATGGGACACCTTGGTCTGGGAACCTCTGTGTTCTTGGAGCAGCAGCCCCGGTGCTGGGATGATGAGGGGATTTGGGAGCAGAAGTCAAGGAAGTAAAACTCAGTAGCCAGAGCAAAGTTCAGGGCTCCAGCATCAAGGTGAATTCCAGGAAGCCCCTCGACCCCCCCAGCTCCCACCTGCACATGACATTGCGGAGCTTCTCCAGGTTGGCCGGGGTGAAGTACCAGTAGTTGCGGTCACAGCGCTGCACGTCCTTCTCGATGCGGTGCAGGTTCACTGTGTACATGTCCAGCAGCTCTGGCTGCCCAAAACAAGAGCAAAGTTGATTTGCTCTCAAAGAAAAAAAGGATTGCAAGGGCAATGGAGCGACAGGGCAGAGTTTGGGTGGGAAGTGGGAGCCCCTCTACACCCAACTATGGGATCAGCACGGGGCAAATGCAGGTCAGTCCTGCCCCTCCACTTGGCCCTGTGAGGCTACATCTGGAGTGTTGTGTTCAGTTCTGATCTTCATAGCTGAGGAAGGACAAGGAGCTACTGGAGAGGGTCCAGTGAAGACCACAGGGGTCTGGTGCATCTCTCTGATGAGGAGAGACTGGGGAGCTGGGCCTGGTTAGTCTGGAGAAGACTGAGAGGGGATCCCATCAATCCAGACAAATATCTCCAAGGGGTGTCAGAGGATGGTGCCAGACTCTGTTCAGTGCTGTCCAGTGACAGGACAAGGAGCAATGGCCGTAAACTAAACCAAAAAAGTTCCACCTCAACATGAGGAAGAACTTCTTTCCATGGAGGGTGGCAGAACCCTGGAACAGTTGTCCAGGAAGGGTATGGAATCTCCCTGTCTGGAGACATTCCTAACCCACCTGGACACATTCCTGTGTCACCTGCTCCAGGTGACCCTGCCTTGGCAGGGGGGTTGGACTGGATGATCTCCAGAGGTCCGTTCCCACCCCAACTACTCTGGGATTCTGTGGTTCTGTGAAATAGCGAGGCAGCCAGGAAGAAACCCACCCTGAACAGGTCCATACTTACAGAGTAGGTGACACCCGTGGAGGAGAGAGCAGATGTTTCACTGTTGGTCAGATCAGTCACAGCCACAGCCAGGGAATCCAGCTGTGGGTACAGACTCTCCATTTCTGGCTCCTCAGAGAGGTTGTCCTCACTCTCCACCAAGCTCTGCTTCTCAGCCTCGCTGTCTGCCCAGCTCTCCACCACAGTCAGGGCCACAGTGTCACTCAGGGCCCCCGCCGGGCCCTCACCCATGGGAACAAAGTCCACACTTCCAACACTGGGAAATTCACCTTCCAGGCTGTCTTGGCCCTGCAGCTTCTCCTGCTGGACACCATCCGTGTCCACTGAGGCTGGCACATCGGACCCACCAGCCTTTCCCTGGGAGCTGGACGAGGATTTATTGGTTTCCAGGGCACTGTCCTCGTTGCTGAAGCTGCGCTCTGAGAACCCTGATGTGATGGAGAAGTTTTGGGAAGAGGGGTGGCCAGAATCAGGGGAACAAGTGCCATTGGGAACTGTCCCATTGGGGACCTTGCTTTGTTTGCCATCTTCCAGCTGAGCATCTACTTCAGTCTGTTCCACTTCATCCACAGATTCAAACACCTGCAAAGTGTGAGCAGAGACACACAGGGGAGCATCATGGAATTCAGCAAACTGCTGGGGACATAGTGCCCATATTCCCAAGAGCTGTGTACTCATAGAGCCCATGTTCCCAACAGCGGAGGGAGAGGAAAATCACCCTTTAGCTTCCTCTCCTTGGATTTGAGTCAGCATGTGGTCATTTGCACAACTCCAAACCCACAAATCCCTGCTCTGAAGGGCTATGCTTTGCTTGGCATTATACACTGGGCAGAAAGTGATTTAAACAGGTGTTAAACACCTGGGCAGTAACAGAGGGAGCAGCCACAGGCCCTCAAGTGTGACAGCCATGGGGCAGAGCAGGCAGGTGAATATTCAACACCACAAGCGGAGCACAGTTCTGACCTTAGTGGCTCCGAAGCAGGCTGGGGACTCATTTACCTCCACCAACACTGGTTCTGTTTGCCAGAGATCCCCATGGTTATGGCTGAGGGGTCAGACCAAGCCAGGGCAGAACTGTGAGGACAAGAAAAGGAGGGGACAAGGTGTTGCAGCTCACCTGGGTGCTGGAGCTGGAGTCACTCTGCAGCCGGGCGTGGTTCTGTCGGCCAGAGCTGCAGCTCTGGGAGGACTGCAAGGGAGAGGGAAAAGGGCAGTGAGAAGGCAGAGAGCACAGGGTCTGGGTGGGGGAGCTCAAGCAGAGGTGGCATTTCTGCAGGTGAAGAACAAGCAGAAAATTCATCCAGTAAATTCTCCTATGTGACCCATGAAGGACGTTCCCATCACATTGACTCTGCCGTGTGTGTCACCCAGAGCAGTGCTCTGCCTCAGCCACCGTCACCGACTGCTGGGGAAGGTGACAAAAGCCAAAGTCCCAGGCCAGTGCAGTTGTCAAGAGCTGCGTGTTGGGTCTGGAAGGAGCCGCTTTCCTCTGGCCTGTAGAGAGGTCACGCTGCCTCCCTGGAGTGCAAATTTCTACAAATCTCTGTCCTAATTTGGCAGCAATGCGGCTCAGCCCGGCTCAGTTTACATAAACGATGAAGTCACAGGCTATAAAACAGCCCCTCCAAGCATATTCATGCTCTTTTCCTTTTCTTAAAGGACAAATATTGATGTTTTAAGCCAGACTTAGTGGAGGCAGCTCCTCTCAAAGTCACGAGTACCCTGTTCTGGCTTCCAGCTGAAGCATAGAGGGAAGGGCTGGGCTTTGCAAGCACCAGCTCCATGCTCAGCCTTGTGGATTCCCTCTGAGCCGCCAGTGCTCGATCAGTGTGAGTCCTCCCCGTTATCTGAGCAGATGTGCAGAGCATGGAATGACATCACACACAAACAAAAGGATTTTAAGAAAATACAGCGCATTCAGACCAGCAGGAGTTGTCTCCACCCTTGTATTGTGGGTGTTTGCTGGGCAGGGCTCTGATGGAGAGAGGAAGGGCGACAGCTTTCCTCCATTACCATGGGAGCACTTAAAACAGGAAATTTCAGGTTCAGATGGAAAAAGGGTGAACATTTGCCTGTGTTAACTGTGCCAGCTCTCCTCCCCGTCCCTGTTCCCAGAAGAACCGAAGAACCACGGCGGAGATGCTGAGGGGAGGGGAATGATTCCTGGAGTTACAGCCATGCCAACAGTGTAGCCCAGCTCTGCTCAGCCCCTCTAGGAGCTGCATCATTCAGTTCCAAACAGCTCCTGGTTCAGACCTGCCTTCCCTGCCTCTCTCCCTCTCTGTACATAGCCTGCAGGATTGGAGCTGAGCTCATCTCTTTCCCAAAGCACCCACACAAACTTCCCAGTGGGAACCAGATCAAGTCTCCAGCGCTCAGCTCCCAGGTCCTGTTCATTTGGGCCTCCCCTCGCCCTCAGTGTGGCAGCCTGAGGTCACGCAACCCAGCACCACGTGCTCTGCCGTGCTGGGCTCTGCTCCTCCAAGGACAAAACTCTCACAGAAGCACTCCCTGGCCGCTGTTCCCAGGACTGCCTTTCCTTTAACAGGCTTTTCCCTCCACACCCTTTGGTTTGGGCTGTGGATCTAACTCTTAAAAGCCAGTCCCACAGAGCTGGGTGTTCCCAGCTCTGTCCCACGATGGCACTGTGTACCAAGGGTATACTGAGGTTCCTCTGTGCTGAGCAGCTGATGGAAAAGGGAGCCAGTAAGCCCACTACCCTGTTTCACAGCCCCTCAGTGCCAGCAGCATGGTCTTCCCTGCCCTTACTTCAACAGTCTTCCATGGAGCTAAACCTGATGTGCACCAGGAGTGCATCAGGTAATGAGTACCTCATTCTCCAGAATACCCACAAGGAATATCTCACAGGACTGGTGAGAGTGTCTGGATTCGGCCATGTGGCCCCACAAATGAGTTACAGGGTCCTGCTGCCCCATTGCCCTTTGCCAGGAGTCCCTGCCCTCTCCAGCAGGGAGCCTGGGTGGACACAGCCCCCCCGAGCCCCCACAGCCTCACCTCATTGCTGATGGTCGAGTCCCTGTGCATCATCCTCTGGATGTGGGAGTCCAGGCTGGCCCCCGAGGAGCACTTGGCCAGCGCGGCCGCGTGTGACTCCTTCTCGCGCTGCCGGACGATGGCCTCGCAGCCCAGCCACTCTGCCATCGTGTGCTCGTAGCAGGCACGGGTCTGCTCGTCAGCCTGCAGCATGGGGGGGACACAGGGGCTTGGAATGGCTGTCCCTGGAGAGCCCAAACCCAGTCCCTTCTGAACCCCCAAGCCTTGCACAGAGGAGCGAACACTCGTCTTTACTATGGCTGGATGGGATATAGTCACCCATCCGCTGCACAGTGCCTGACCCACAAAACCTGGCCAAAATTAGGATGGGAAATGCCCATCCATCTCCTCCCTGCCTTCCAGAGGTGTGCAGGGCACTGAATATGAGGAACCAGCAGCTGCACAGGGCAGCGTCAAGCTTGGTCCTGTCAATTCCTGCTGATCCGAGTCTTTCTCCTGCTCCTACCTACAGGCCAGTCCAGAGTGGACACGATGCCCAGTGGGCTCTGCAAACAGACCCTTCAAGCTGTGCAGTACCCAGGGCACATCAATGCCACACTGCTGAGCCGGCAGCACACCCACACCAACCTCCTTTCTCTCTGCCTCCGTCATCCCAAATTGGTAATGGCCCAGCAGGAAGGGCCAGACGGCCTTCCTGATCTCGTGCTGGATCCCGCCATAGTAGATCAGCCGCAGCAACTCCTGGTCCTCGTAACTCTGTGGGAAGAGCTTGGTCAGTGCACAGACACAGCCAGGACATGGCCCATTGGGTGTAAGGCCCAGCTGTGCCACCTTTCAGTACCTGGAACACTGCCCAGATCCCGACTACCCCCAAACCCACTGCCCATCCACTGCAGATGATCCCTCAGATCCCTGCCTGTGCTCAGGTAGAGCCAGAGGCTGCTGTGAGTGAACATTTTGGCTCATCACACCAGAAACTGGCCCATCAAGGTCACTGACGGTCACTGCTGTGCCTCTGAGCCTGGCAGCACAGCAGATCCCCCCTCAAGGCCACAGTAATCAGGTGACAGACACTGCCCAGGTGGGCTCTGAGCAGAAGCAAGTCTAGGTGAGCAGTATTCATTCCCCAGCTCCCACGTGCCAAGGATTAGGAGCCCTGTGCAGCCTAGGACAGGCTGGCTGACTTCCCTCCTAGAGGAACTTCTCAATGTGCTTGGCCTCATCGTGCTACAACCACCCGGGACACCCCGAGCGCACCAGAGCTGGTGTGTCCCCAGAGCCCTGGCTCTACCGTGCTGTCCTGCAGGTATCTCTGCCAGATGTCCACAGTCAGCCCCGAGCTGGCACTGCAGGGGACGTCAGAGGACACGATATTGTGGTTCACCAGCGCAGACAGGTGGGTCCTCACCGTGGACAGGTGTCTGCAATAGGCCAGCCCTGCAGCAGAGAAAACCAAACATTCATCCTTGGACCTCAGGGAGCCATGAGGGTGAAGAGCAGGAGAAAGTTCTAATGAGTCTGTTCTTTGAGGGAGATCCTCTGAAGCCACATCCCAAAGTAGGGAATCTACTGGGACAGGACCACCAGTGCTGCTGCTCACCGGGCTCAAGTCCAAGGATCAGAGTCCATGTGTTTGCTCCCCATCCTGAGCACGTGCACAGACTGGTCCCAATACCCCTGGCCACTGGCAGCTGGCTCAGCACCACTCCCAGCCTGGGGCCCAGAGCCTTATCCCTCACCCATCACACATCTCATGGCAGTAGGAATGTGACAGGTACTCACAGCCATAGAAGGCCCGGGAGAGGATTTGGTACTTCATGTTGTCACACAGGAGCTTCAGTGGAGCTCTGCCAACAAAAACACAGGGGATGTGAGGAGAGGAAATGCTCCCATGCATCCCCTCAGCCTGGCTTTGATCTGACTGATCCAGCTGTGCCTGCAGAGATGCAGCACAGGACCCTGCTCAGCCTCAGAGCAGCAATTCCTGCTGCCAGGATACGGCCACAGAGCAGCTGAGATGTCCCAGATGCCCTGGCTTTGCTGTGCCCACGTGTCCCACGGGAGCAGCAGCTCCTCGTACCTCTCGTGGCTGCAGCCGTTGGCCGGGCCCCCGTCCGAGGAGCCGCTCTGGGAGCAGGAGGAGCAGGAGGACTTGCGGGTGCTGGGCTGCCACATGGGGGGCAGGACAGCCCCTGGCCCGTCCATCAGGTCCTGGGGCACTGTGGGAGTGGAGAGGAGCATCAGGGACCGCCTGGCACTGCCCCTGGAGCCTGGGACACACAGGGGGTCAACAGAGAGCTTTGATTAGCAAAGGCAGCATCCCACTCTTCCCAAGGAGGCTCCAGCGACCAGGCAGAACCCACTGCAGGGAATCACAGCACCTGCACTGGTGAGCTCAGGAGAAAGGAAAGGGAACAAAGAGCATTGATGAGAGAACCATCTGCTAATTAACAAGCTCATTCAGAAAGCTGGTCTTAAACTGCTTTGTGCTGACCAAGGCAGAAACCCAACACCCAACGCAGAGACTCCAGAGAAGGGGCTGCAACAGACTGAAACAGATGAGAAAAAACAGGATTGAAGTCAACTGCTGTCCCAGGAAGAGCCGATCACTGGCAGGGAAAAGCCCCCACCTCTCAAACACTAGGATCCCATCCAAGATTCAGGGAAAGAAGGGAGCAGCAAAATCACAAGACAGGAGATGAAGACATGGATGAAGAGGTTGAGAGGGACAGCAGGAGCTCTGCATATTGTCACTTGCTAAATCCTGCTTAAACTTGAAGTGCTACTGCAAAAGCCTTGTGTCCTGCTCAGGTACTGTCCACGCACTGGCCAGGAGATGGAGAATAACCCTATTTACTCCTCCTTGGAAATTAAATCATGGTAGAAATTCCATCTTCTGGCCATGAGAGGGTTTCCTCGCACCCTTGGTCTCACTGACTCTCCTTGCTTGTGGTATTGAATAGCTGGTACCGGCAAGAAAAAATGTTGAAATATTTCTATAAAAGCCCCTTCCTTTCCCCTCCCACTGAGCTGATGGGTCAGTGATGGTCAGCAGGGACAGGGACACCTCTGCAGGACCTGTCAAGTGACAACACAGGTGAGCTGAATGCCAGACACAACCAACCACAACAGCTCCATTACACTGGTGCTGGCAGGTCCCCAGAGCAGCACAGGGAGGTCGGGACGTGATGAGGAGACTCAGACACCGTTTAGGGATCACCACCATACTGCTTGCAGTTGGAGTCCTCGTCATCTTCCCTCTCCCAGCACTCACAGAGATCACAGGTGCACGGAATGGGTGAAAAGTACCATTAATGGCAACTAGAGACACAGAGAGAGGACAAGGGCACAAATGAAAGGGCAGAAAGGAAGAATCTGCAGACAAGAGAGAATGATGCAGTTCCACCCCCCTCTGGGAAGGTCCACAGGAATGGCACAGGCTGTGATGACGCCAGCTGAGGAGATGGCAGCAATTCATTTCACAGCAAATGTGGCCCCCAGCATGGAATTTTAAGGGGTAGATCAAAAGACAGCCACAGAAAGGAGCATCTCTATCTGCTGTTTTAGCTTCAATCAGATTTTTATCTGACTCACTGAATCGTGTTAGTCAGCTAAAGGCAGGGAGAACCAAGTATAACCTTAACTGATGTTATGGAGGAGTCACAGGGGATGTGATTTCCCCCTTACAGCCTCAAAAATATAGGAACAAGGTTTTGATCACATTTCACAGCTTTTTAAAAAAATCTCCACAAGTCTTCTATCTAAAACTGGTGGGTTTTCTCCCTTACAAAGTCACCTATGATGTCCCCAGATGTCAGAAAAAGGTTCTTGGTATCTCACAGAAGAGTGAGGATGAATGTAAAGATATCTCAGCCAAGTTCAAATCATTCACCACCAGACATTAAGAGACACTTGTGGTTTGGTGCATCCAGCAGCATCCCCTCCCTTGCCCTATGAGTCAGGAACTGAAGACACATGGGAGAAAGGTGCTGTGACCTCCCCTTTGTGCTGCAGAAGCCACACTGAAGGAACATCACTGGATTTAATGCAGCACTGGCTGAGCTGGCCTGGGACAGCAAGAGAAGAATCAGCCTTGGGGGCTTGTGATGGTGGAAAGTGACCCCCGAGTGACCAAAGTGAATATTCCTACTCATGTTATGTGTAAGAGGTTTATTTCCTGCCCATTAAAGCTGTTGTGGCTGTTGTGCAGCTGCAGAAACAAAGGACTCAACAGCAAGCAGAAGGTTGAAACAAAAATCCATAGATAGAATCCTGGAATGGTTTGGGTTGGGAGGGACCTTAAAGCTTATCTCATTCCAACCCCTGCCATGGGCAGGGACACCTCCCACTATCCCAGGTTGCTCTAAGCCTCATCCAACCTGGCCTTGAACACCTCCAGGACTGGGGCAGCCACGGCTTCTCTGGGCAACCTGTGCCAGGGCCTGTCCATCCTCCCAGGAAGGAATGATGACATTGAACAGGCAGCACTGACACAACCAAAGCTCTTCCTCTGGAATCACCTCCTGGTTTGCCATGTGCCCATCAGTGCCGTGTCCCAGCAGCTCATACATCCCATGAGAACCCCCCAAAACTCTGCCCTGCACTCACCAAACTCAGCCTGTGTCCCGGGGTAGATTATCCTGAACACATAATCTGTGGCTTCGTCATCCTCCTTGTCGGACGCGGACTCGGAGGAGCCCTGGGGGCTTCGCTTCCTCAGCTTGGGAAACACTTTGCCCTGGGGGAACAAAACCAGCCCTTCACAAGATGCCCCACACTCGACCACTCACTTCCTGAGCTCCTGCCCCATCACAGCACATGCCTTTCCAGCCTGGATGACTTTGCACATTCCCTGGGCTGGAGCAGCCTTTGGATTAAGCCTCCCATTACAGGGTGGCTCTACAACCCTGTTGAGCACAGGGTATGTACAACACACGAGAACCAAACCCTCCCTGCCCCATGGGCAGCCCTCCCACACCAGCCCCCTGAGTTTTTCCAATGGGTCTGTTTAGCTGGTCAAGGCCTTGAGCTAAAACAAACCGCCATATTTTTAAGCCCACCTTCCTTATTAATTTTGGGAAGGGGATTACTTAAAACACAGAAGCTGCTAGTGCCAGGCAGAGGGTTCTCCCCAGCAGCTCCACTTCGGACACTCCACACGGGAACACCAGCAGGAACCCCAGGAAACAGCCCAGTTTCAGAGCACCCACCTTTCCCCGCTGTGACCAGAGGGGTGGGTCCAGCTGCCCATGGGGCAGGAGGCCGTTCTCCAGGCAGGACAGGAACTGCAGCAAGTGCCCTCCTCGGGGGAACCGCAGCGGCGGCCTCTGGATCCCATCCTGGCTCACCAGGACCACCGTCCCACCACTGTCTACTATTGGCAACAGTGACAGCAGGGAGAAGAGACATCAGCGAGGGAAACAGCACCAGTCCGAAAGGCAGAGGGCAGGAAAGCTCAGGGAATTGTCTTTCTAGCATGGAAAAAAAAAAGGACTTTCTTCCTTGTAATGGACTTGGAGAAGAATCCAAACAAGTCTGGGGCCCTGGAGAAGGTTTGCTAGGATCACACCCTTGGAAACCAGAGTGCCCTGCTCTGCAAGGAGCACTCCCAGCCAAGCACTACAGCCAGGAGGTGGTGGAAAGGTTTTCCTGGAAGCATTTACATCATAGTGACCACCCAGAGCTCTGGACATCTGTCCTGGAGCCAAATCCAAGCTGTGGGCACTCCCCAGAGGTAAGGAATCAGGGTGTCAGGGTGCCACAGCCTCCAGGAGCCCCTGCTGTGGCCTTACCTTGCTGGTGACAGTGCAGATAAACGATCTCCTCCAGGCGAATGGTCATGGCATAGTCCCAGTACACACTGGAACAGAGACAGGGAAGCCATGAGCCTTAGGGATGTAAGAGGCTCTGCTTCTGCCCACATCAGCTCCAGATCCTGCCTCCAGATACCCTGGTGACAGGGGAAGTCACAGAAAAGAGGAGGTCCCAGAGCAGTGACACCAGCCTGGAGAGTGACAACATCCCTCCAGAAGCAGTAACTGTCCCTGCCACCTCAGCTCAGCCAGGGCAAGTCCAGTCCCACCTGCCCCAGGTGGTTTCTGTACCCTCACACCATTCCCAAACATAGACAATCTGCCCATGAATCCTTGCAATTGCAGGGAGTGACATGGAGCCCTGCAGAGCTGAGCACTCCCTCTGGGCACCCCAAGGACTCCCCACCCTGCTACAGTGCTGGGAGAACCCCAAGAATCCATCAGGAGCAGCCCTAGAACCCCAAGGGAACATGCAGTGCTGTCCAAGCCTGGGCTGCTGCTCTGCTGAGCTCTTGCCCCCAGGGAGGGGAAATAAACCCTCACAACTGGTGGGGTTTCTTTCAGAGCTGACAATAGATTTGCTCTCAGCTGCTTCTGTTCAAGAACTGCCTCAGCAAAGGCACCTCGAGGGCTCTGAGAAAATCTAGAACATGCTGGATTGCTGGTGGCCACCAGACAGGGCAGAGGGGCAGGGAGGGCCAGGAGGAAGCCAGGGAAGGGGATGTCTCCAGGGTTTCATTCCTGTGGAGAGCCCAGCACTGCTCTCTGAGAGTGTCAGCACTTCATCACATCCTACTTCTGTGCAACAAAGCAAACTTCCAGATCCGGAGCAGCGTCATCTGCCACTTCACAAAAATAGCACTTAAGTAACATTAAAAATGGCTTGTGAATGCAGTGAAGGACAGAAGGGGTGCAAGAGTCACTCCCTGTACAGTCATACTTACTGTGCCATCTGCCTCCTGTCTTCCTTGGTCACGTCTTGACACTGGGAAGTTTTAGAACTTAGGCTGATGCCCAAGTCAAGAACTCAGAAAAGGAGTGTAGAGATGAAAATAGCATTTTAGGGGGAAGGTACCAGGCACAACTGAATGGCCCAGGGGCCAATAGGAAAGGGAAGATGAAAAGAACAGAGGTAAACAAAACCCAAAAAAACTACAATTGAGAATGAACAAAGCTGAGACCAAGTTCTGCTGAAGAAGATCTCTAGGTCAAAGCATAAGTGTTCTAAACACTCCCACTTTACTGGAGCTGCTGAGAAGGGATTTTGTTTCTAAGGCAAATTGGGACCTGGCATGATCCAGCCTGTGAAAGGATTGCAGCTGTCGGGGAAACACCAGCAGTCCATCAGGCAATGCCAGGGAAAAGGGCCTGGTCACACAGCCTGCCAAGCAAACTAAGCAGACCTCAGGGCCTCTGGAGGAACAAGCTCCAGGGACTCCAATAAATCCAAGGGACTCTGAATACCTGCACGTAAGATCACCAGAAAATGGCACACACTGTCACCAAGGTCTGATCCTCTGGGAACTGCTCACATTCTCTCTCTGCAGATTCTCTTCCCTGATTATGAGCTCCTCATCTTCCCAGATTACAATAACCAGGATAAACCTGAGACCACTGAGGGCATTCCCCTGAAAAATCCCCGAGGGTAATAAAGGAAAACCACTTTGTGTGTGTTGGAACAAGCCCCAGCTCCCTCACTGAGCACTTCCCAGCAGAGATGGGCAGTAGCTCAGCATCTCACTCCACCTCCCTTCACCCTCCCCAGGCCTCCTTCCCCATCCCTTCCCATTACAGACTTGAGGAGGATGGTTTTGCTTTGCATTCACCAGGAAAACACTGCTGGTTTGGACACCAGATCCAAACTCTGACCCTGGGGAACATTTGCACCCCCTCTGCTCCAGTCACCTCTTCTCATAGTCCAGGTCCCCCACAGAGCCATTCATCAGCTGGTTCGGGGTCCACTTCAGTGCCATGATGTCGGCGGTCTGGTGAAGGGACAGATATCCTGGGATTGCCTCCATGTCATCTCGCTTGAGGGGAGAAACACAGGGACAGAGTGAGCTGGAAAATGCCAGGCACATGAAGCACCACCCCAGGCTGCCCGAGGCTGAGCCTTGGAACCAGTTCTGGCCCCTCACACAGCCCTGCCTGCTGCCCTGAGCCCACTCACTTACCCACAGTGAGAAACCCACTGTGGCCCTGAAAACCCTCCTGGCAGAACACCAGGACACCTCCCCAGCTTGGGATAGGCCTGAGAGCAGCTGCCCAGCAAGGAAAACTTAACAGCTCCACCTAAAAGCAGTTTGCACTTCATTTATTTGACTACAAGAAGTAGGACAGGAGGAGCAGTTTTATGGTAAAGAGTGGGCAGGGAGAGGAGCCTGCTTCTACTCAGACCAGAGCAGAGCTCTCCCATTCCACTGGGAGGATCCATATCACCAGGACCTCCACAAACACAGTCCATTCCCTGCCTTCCCAGATCAAAAATGAGCCTGTGCTTTCCTCCATCGAAGAGCAATTTGGGGTAGAATGAGCTGTTGAGGGGCAGAGCAACATTTTCAAGCCCAGATGCCCCAGCAGGAACTCACCGGCTGCACCAGGACATTGTTCTTGCCGTAGAGGAGCGTGGCACGGGAATTCTGGTGCAGTGACTCCACATAGTCCCTGGCAGACAGCGAGGGCCGGTCATCCATGCTGCCACTGGAATGTCTTTTCTGAATCTGGAAGACAGCCATCCACAAATGTGAGGTGAGCACACACACCTCTGGCTTTCCAAAAGCCCTCTTGAAGCTCATTTCCTCCTCACTTACACACTTAAGTCACTACCAGAACTCTTTCCCTCAGAGTCCTCTAAGAGGATTCCTGGCTCTGGCCAAGATAATTTCTGTACTTAGAAAAGCCCCAGGAGTGTGCTTTATTTGCAATAAACACCGCAGACTCCAGCTGCCCTTGCTTATCGTTCATGCACGATGTTCCCAAGGGGCACAGCCCCCACGATGCCCCCGTGCCCTGGCAGCCTCCATGGACCGTGCTCTCAGCACTTCTGGCTCCAAGACTTCCCTCATCAGAGGGCCCCAAAGCTCTTTTCAAACGCAGGGAGTGCAGAGCCGTGGCTGTGGCTCTGGGAGGAGCCCAGCGAGGGGCTGTCCCCCCCCCACACTCACGCAGAGCGCCGGGCGCTTGGTGGGCGAGTCCTGCCGGCAGTGGGAGCTGTGGATCCGGTGCCGCTGGACCAGCTCGTCTGCCGAGGGGTCTGTCCAGAAGTGGTCAGCGGTTTTCATCTTCGTGTACTCCAGTGCACAGGGCCCCACTGCAGAGAGGAACAGCCCAAACGTAAGGGAACCATCGGTGTTCCGATGGCCGCGGTCACCCCCCGGAACCACAGAGAAAACAACTGCATTTCACACCCAGATCACAGACAGGGTTAGAAAGCAAGCAGGGTAAGAGGAAAGTGTTACCCAGTAAAGATGCAAGAATTGGCCCATCCACAGGATCCATCAGGAGAGCCTCCTTCTCATAGTACTTACTAGAAGAAATAAAAGACGGCAGAAAGCTGGAGTGCTGCAAAATGGGACTGTAAAGTTATAGACAGTGGTTTTAAATCATTGGTATGCCCTTCTCTTTCTATATCACCCCTTGGTGGAAAAAGGGCAAGAAGCCCTTAACAGGCTGTTTCTCTAGCTGTGAAATCCCTGTGGAACAGACACCTCCTGCAGCACATTGCAAACATCACCATCTCCTGACAAAACCTGCCCAAGATTGGAGATCTTCCCCAGGACAGGTCACCTCAGCATAGAGATCCCAGAGGATAAGGACAGCACAGTCTCTGACAACCCAACCACCAGCAGGGCAAGTGTGGCCTATCTTTATTTTAGGGAGTGCCCAGTGGCCACCAGCAGCAGGGTGTCCATCAGAGTCCCCATGATGGGCATGGAGTGACACAACTGGCCTGTCCCATCCAGGGACTTCTCTGGTCCACTTGGACACAACTCAGACAGCAACACCCCCAGTCCCATCAAAGGGACAGATGCTGGCAGTGATCTGGGACAGGTGAACGGGTGGTCTGTGCCTGCACTCACCTGCTGTTCTCTACCAAGTAGTGCACGATTTTATCCAAGACCTTTTCGAAGAGGGCTGTGCGGATCCAGAGGTGTTTGATGGCCTGAGGAGACAGGTTGGGCAGCTTCGGCACCTTGCGCACGTTCTCTGGGATGCCCTGGACTTGGTTTCGCCTTTAGAGGTGCAAGACAAGAGACAACATCATCACTGGCTCGTCCTCGAGCTCTGCAGGAGCCCAGGGCACTCCCACACCTCATGGGGCACAAGGTCAGGGTTTTGGTGGTGCTGGGGGATGCCCAGGGAACTGCCTGGGACAGGGCTCTGGAGATGCTCCCTGCATCCATCCCACCCCCTGCTCCAGAAGGCCACACCTGCATTTGGAACCAGACTTACTATATCAGTTTCCCACAGTAAAGACATCCCAAAATGAGCCTCTCCCTCAGCAGAGGCCTCCAGCTCACACATGTGTCCACATGTGTCTGAGGACAGCAGTTCACAGGCAGAGCAGCTTATCTTAGGACAGCATAAAATTCCTGCCCCAGGTAGCTGCTCCATCCATCTCCCTGTTTCCTGTCCAAGGATGAGTGAGCAGCTCTCAAACAGCAGTTGAGTTACTGCAGGTTCAAGCCCTGCACACTGAGGCAGAGCAAATGTGGTTCCAGTTGACTTAGTGAACTGGCCCATAAACCCTGACAGCTCAGGAGCAACACACTCAGCTGTCCCTGAGGCACAAGAGAAGGGGCGGAGGGATAAGGACTTGCCCACCCCTGCTTAAACCACAGGCACAACTCAGTTTCCTAGGAAAGCAACCAGTTCATTCAAGACAGAAAAATCCCAGGGCAAGACACTGCTCCACTGAAGGAGCAATACCCTTGCTGAGGCTCAAGCTGGACTTGCAATCCCCAACCATACCCAAACTACACCCTCATCCCGAAACACAAGTGACCAGAGGACTGACAGCAATGCCAGTGCCTTACGCGTTCTCAATGAGCTGCTCCAGGTCTTGCACCTTCTTGCAGAGCTCCTCTGCCAGGGGGAAGCTCTTCCCCACCTTCATGAACAGCGCTGCGATCTTGTTGCTGCGCAGGAATCCGGCTGCCCTCCGCTTCAGGCCGTGCAGGACACAGGATTCCACGGCAGCTGCAACAGAGCACAGACCTCACTAGAGCACCTTCCCCATGGACGCAGGCTGGGAGAGCTAGGGCTGTTCAGCCCAGAGAAGAGAAAGTTGTGTGGAGACCTCACAGCACCTTCCAGGATCTGAAGGGGCTTCAAGAAAGTCAGAGAGGGACTTTGCATCAGGACACCTCCCACTAGTCCAGGCTGCACCAAGCCCCATCCAACCTGGACTTGAACACTTCCAGGGATGGGACAGCCACAACCTCCTAAAGCTTCTCCGACAATATATTTGAAAGCAGAGACATTCCCTCCTGGCCTTCAGGAAAACACACCTCATCAGGTAATTGCTATGCTGTGCACACACTGACACTTTCCTCTCGGGTTTCTTGTGGATTGTGGAGAAACCAAACAACTCCCTGAAGTTTTCCCTTCAGTCCAGTCTGAGGGCATGGCTGGAACCAGACTATTTCATTCCCTGTGCTGGGATGGTCCAAGCAAGGAGAAAGTTCAGGCACACTGAGAATTTCTAAAGCAGCACAGGAAATGGGGCAATTTTTTTCCCAAAAATCTCAGTGTTCACGTAAACATTTTTCCTGAAAAACAGAAAGGAATAGAGAACCTGGGGATAAACTCCAGGCAGCACCAGCAGCTTGCAATGACTCCACAGAAATACATGTACACGCACAGACTCCACTGGCAACCTGCTTCCCAAACCCCTTGGGAGGACTCTGGATGGATGTCTAGTGCCAAACACAGACTGATTAAACAGTCTGATCAAAGCACTGGAAAATCACACGGACCCACAACTCTCCCTGTGCTCTCCCAGGGGCTCTGAGGCTGGAGCACACACCCTAAGAGCACCTTGTCCATGCTAAATCCAGAGATAATGGTAGGTTTTTTAAACCTAAAAACACGAGTTTTTGAGCTCAGTCCATAACTTCTGTCACCACCAAACACACTGCGAAGAGATTCTCCCCATCCCTCAGGATAAAACCTGCAGCAGAGCCATGTGATGCAGAAGCTTTGTGCAGCTACGCCCAGGTAAAGTGGGAGCTTTGATTCCTGGCAAAAGACATCTAAAGGTATTTCTGAGTTCCCCAGAGCACTGGTGTGATTCAAACCCCTCTGGCTGAGCAGACTCAGCATTGATGTGGACACCAAACCCTCGGCTAACACCAGCCCCCAGCCCTGCTCCCAGTTCTCCATCAGCCTGGGCAGCCTGGACTGACAGATGCCAACTCGTGTTTGTCTGCTCCAAACCCCCCCTCGCAGAAGAATGGGGTGGCCGGGGGCTGCTGCCCTTTCCTGCCACACCACTGGTTCCACTGAAGGGATTTGCAGTACACTGGCCATGCAGAGGGCGGGGAGGGCTCCGTGAGGAAGGCAGCCCTCTCCAGGGAAAAGGGCAGCTCTGGCAGCCAGAGCCAGGCTTGCAGCACGCTCTGCTTGGCAGGGAAAGAGGTTATTTATAAGCTCACCAGGCTCCTGGAGAGCCACAACACCGAGGAAGGTGCACGTACCATTCAAATGAGAGAGGAACTGCAGCCAGAGCAGGAGAGGAGACACCAGCAGCCAGGAAAGGACAGCATTAAGAAGCCAAAAGGGACCAACGAGCCCTTCGTGCCTGGATGCCTCAGCTCCATGTCGCAGGAACCTATAAATAACCCCCTCGTGCTGCACAGAACAGCAGGGAATGAGTCACACCTGGGAGTCTGCTCTGCTCTTTCGATGCCGCACAAAGGGCTGGGAACGGGTTCCTGTCTTTGATGTGGGGGCTCCACAGGAAAGGAGAAAGGCTGTTGGAGCAAATCCAGAGGAGAGACACAAAGTTGAGAAGGGGACTGGAGCACCTCCCCTGTGGAGTCAGGCTGGGAGAGCTGGGGCTGTTCAGTCTGAAGAAGAAAAGATTGTGTGGAGACCTCACAGCACCTTCCAGGATCTGAAGGGGGTACAAGGGAGATGGAGAGGGACTGTGCATCAGGAACTGGAGTGACAGGACAAGGCACAATATGTTCAAACTGAAAGAGGAAATTTAGGTTAGATATTAGGAAGAAATTCCTCCCTGTGAGGGTGGTGAGGCCCTGGCACAGGTTGCCCAGAGAAGCTGTGGCTGCCCCATCCCTGGAAGTGTCCAAGGCCAGGCAGGACAGGGCTTGGAACAACCTGGGCTAGTGGAAGGTGTCCCTGCCCATGGCAGGGGGTGGAATGGGATGAGCTTTAATGTCCCTTCCAACCCAAACCATTCATTGATTCTAGGAAAAGGCAGAAGCCCCTCTGCTCTCCAAGGCAAAAAAGGAGACCTCAGCACCCCCTTCTCATTCTTTTTAGTCTGTGGGTGCTCCAATCCTGTTCAGTGGTGACAGTGCTGCACGAGCCTTCTTGGAGCAACCTCTTCAAAAGCTGCTTCTCATCACGTCTGGCATTTTCTTCCCAGCCTCCAAATTAACAAGCTGCCCTTCAGCTCTTTGTACAGGGAGGAGTGAGGCTCCCTGCACTCGCTGCCCGCAGCCCCTGCTCAGCAGCAGCCCCTCAGCCCCAGCACGTGGGCACAGTGGCTGTACCTCAGCCAACAGCCCTGCTGGGAGACGGGCACAGCCACCAGACAGGCTCCAAACAGGCACAGCCTCTCCCACTTCCCAGAAATCCAGGGCTCATGGTGTCAGAGTAGAGCTCCTGTTCCATGCGCCAGCCTCACTCACCCAACAGCCTGAAGTACTTGCCCCGCTCACAGTATGCTAATTAGTTTCAAATTAGTTTGAAATTCATCAGACACCCCCAGTCTACCAGCCAGGTCCCCCCCACTTCTACAAATGCTGGCATGTGGCAGACTGGACACCTGAAGCTGCTTTTCCTGGGCACTGACTGTCCCAGTCACACATTCTCCACTTTGAGTGGTTGACAGAGTGGCACAGGAGGGCCAAAAAAGAATAGAAACAACCTCATTTTGACATCCTGATCGTAAAGTCTCTCCGATGATCAAACCTGTGACACATTCCACCTGGAACAAGGCTGCTCTGTCCTGCTCCCCACTACCTTTGAGGTACAAATACTCCTCCTCTCCAGCTCCCCAGTTTTTGCTCACAGGCCTCCAGCACATCTCAGAGCCCAAACCCAACAGCCCTTCAGGGAGACTTTTAGAAACCTCCTTGCCAAGGTTTTTATGGATCCATTCTGAAACACTTCCACATTTACAAAATTTTTATACCAGTAGGAGAAAAATAGGTAAGAAAGCAGGCTAGTAAAAACACAGCTGCCAGAAAACAAGCCCCAAACCAGCCCAGTATCAGAGCAGATCTTCTACAGACTCCATCTCTCTCTCAGCCTCTGGCCTCTCTGCTCCTGCACTCTGGCAGACTGCAGACTCCTTTCCATAAATTCCTATTCCATCATAGCAAAGAAATATTTGGACTTGACAGACTTTCAGTTGAATCAATTCTCAAGGAAATTTAAAAATAAAATATTATTTCTAGTACTTCCTAAGTGGCTGCACACACTGCCAGCATCCATCCTTCTTTGACACATCTCAATATATTTTAGGCACAGGGCAAAGGCCTCAGGGACTCTGACTGCTGCCAGAACAACTCACCCACTGGCACCAATCCCCTCCCCAGCCCAGTGCTCTGGAGCTGGAGCATGTTCCCAGGAATGGCACATGGCACAGCAGGGAAAGCCCAGCACCAAGAGGGTGCTCCAGCCCCAGCCCAGGTCAGCATCCTGCTGTCGGGGACTCACCGCAGAAGGAGATGATGTGGCTGCTGTCCTCGTGCACAAACTTCCTCGTCACTGCCTCCTCCATGATCTGCTTCACCTGTGGCACAGAGGCAGATGGAGAAAACATGGAATTTCAGCCATGGACCAGCACGAGGAGACCTGTGGTGGGGTGGGCACTCAGAAACCTCCCCTGCTCCCTGATTTTTCCAGTGGTACAGGGGCTCTCATGGAGGATCAGTGCAGCTCTGCCTACTGAGCATCACCAGCTGTTTCAAAAAGTCAGGTATAAAAAAAAGGGAAAACTGAGAAACTTCAAAGTAGGAAAACGATGAGCAGAGAATTAACTGCAGGAATTGAGCATCATTTAGATAAAAGTCTTCTAATAAAGGGTAAGCAGATCTCATATTTAATGCTCTTACAGTATTGTTCTGTTCCTTCCTTTTATGTGACAAATTTCATGTGACACAGCTGTCCCAAATGACTGTAACTATCCATCAATGCCTAATTCAGGGGTCACCTGGCACCAGCTGTGCCCAGGAATGCCATTTGCAGGGCAACACCAGCAGCTCTGCCCTCACTGACTCTCACTGCAGTGCAGCTGATCAAAAGGAAACTGGCACTAGTGCACATCAGGGGCACGATTAGGGGATGAAAATAAATAGGAACCCACATAAATTAGGAGGGTAATTTTTGCAGAGAGAAGATAGGAGGTCAGATCTGCCAGGTAAGCAGAGTGCAGAGGTGGTGACTTCCATCCCCAGCTGCACCCTCCCTAATCCAGCTGAAATCAGCAAAAGTCCAGCTGAATCTTTTCTCCTTAAATGTTCAGTTCCCAACCAGTTTTCCTGTTTAACATAGAGCTGCCAGCATGCCCAGATCTCCTCTTCCAGTGCCTCTACAACATCTTGCTTTTCACTCCTTGGTTTCAGAAACCACAGGGGAGAGGGTTCCCAGTGCTGTGGGCACAAGGGAAGCTCTGCTTAGCAAGGTGTTCCCTCTGAAGGCACAGGGAGGAGGGAAAACCAGCAGGTCAGGACTTGGCCAAGCAAACCTTGGGTGTATGAGAGACCTTTAATAGCATCATTTGGGGAATTAAACTCCTTTGCAAGATATAATCAAGGTCAATTTTGCACAGCTAACAGCTCAATAAAGGAAATCCTTTACGGGTATGGATTAAAGAAAGAGTCCTCTCTGAAGCCAAAGCTCCTCTGTGCGTCAGAGCCATCAGGTGAGCTCCCAACCCTGCTCCCTACCGGGTGACTAATGGAACCCGATCGTGAGCACTGAGACTTCCATGGATCCCAGCAGCTCAGATGAGCTGACAGTGAGTCAGGAAGTCACAGCAAGGAATGTCACTGAGATGTGGACCTCAGGACTGGAGATGGCTCAGAGCACTGGGAAATCCCCCTTGGCAGAGCATGATCCAGCTCCTGCAGCTCCCACAACCCGACTGCGCTCAGAGCAGTGACTCCAGCTGCAGGAACATCCCAGGGCAGCAAACTCTGCTTCCAAGGACCCTAAAAAGCTTTACTGTGTCTCAAAACTGCAGCTATCCCTGATCAGGGCACCTCCTGGTGCTCCTTCCTCACGCCCCACGTACAGTTTTCCCCTCATCCCAGTGCCCCATGCTGAGCACCAGGGAAGGGGCAGCTGCATTCCTCACTCAGCTTCCCAGCTCCAGCATTTAGTTCTAAACTTCAACAGAAGGAACACTGCAAAAGAGAAACAGGGACAGAGCAAAGTCCCAGCAAGAGGAAAGGATCCCTTTCTCCCACATATCCCTCGACCTCGGTAGCAGTGGTGGATTAGGGATGGGAAGCACCAGCACCAGTGCCCAGGTGAACACCAGAGTTGCTCCTTTTCCCCCACCTGACATTACACGTGTCCCTCAAAGACATGCCAGTCCCCCCTTCTGAAACCTCAACCAACTCAGGACCCATCACCAACCACCCCCTTGGGGCAGCCCTGGAAGGGAGGTCTGACAAGGCACGTCTTGGGGCCCTCAGGGATTCCCCAAAATTTGGCTCTCCCAGCTGGCTGAGCTCTCCTTGTCCAGATGGCTCATGGACCTCACCCAGCCAGGCTGAGCCTCCTCTGTCAGCAGGACACGGCACTTCCCTCTCCCACATCCAACTGATCCACCAGAAAACAACAATGCACAGATAGTAAATTTACCCTCATGGAGACACTGGTAATATCAGCATTTTAACCCCCCCCCCCAAAATACACTTGAGAACCAATGCACAGAGTTATATCTTTACCAGCTTCAGATTAAATTAGGAAATATTCCAAAAAGCAGTATATTCAAATATCTGTTCAAAATTTGAATATATTGACACAACACCCGCAGTGACACCGGCCCAGGGCCTTCCCCAGGGCAGTGACCATCTGCCTGTCCAGGGCCTGTGGAGCAGCCAGGACAGCAGGACTCCAGCTCCAACCACCTGCACGCTCGAGGCACAAACAAAAAACCTTTCAAGAGACACAGTTTAGTGGAAAATTACTCATTAAAAGTAAAAAAAATGCACTGTGTTGACTGAGGTTATCACACTAAAAATAAATCTGCAGGACTAGAAGTGGAAAGGGCACTGCAACAAGGGCACTCACCTGGCATGTGACAAACACAAATACCAGTCACAGCAGGTAGAGGCCAGACAGGCAGACAGGGACTTGCAACAGAAAACAAGGGATATTATGGAATCATGGAATGGTTTGAGTTGGAAGGGACCTTAAAGTTCATCCATTCCCACTCCCTGCCATGGACAGGGACACCTTCCACTACACCAGGTTGCTCCTAACCCCATCCAACTTGGCCTTGAACACTTCCAGGGAACAGAATCAACACTTCCAGGGCGTAGAATCAAGAGATTCTAACTTTCTCTACATACTAAGAAAGAAATCTTACATTTGCCCATACACAGACATGTCTGAAGGACAGCTCTAAGCCAGAGAACCAAAAAACCTCTGACAGATCCCCTCCTATGCTGTTGTCTGCAGGTCCCAAAGGATTCTCCCACCTGGACCCCAACCCTTCCACAGCCAGCTGGGATCACAAACACCACGGATCCCATCTGCCACGTGCTCCCAGATCCACCAGGAGTTTGTGACACTGAGGGGATGGGGAACAGCTCAGCCACACTTGGCTCCCTCCACAGAGAAGACTTGAACAGCCTCTAAATGTGCTGCATTCCAGCATTTTAATGCTAATTCTCCGATTGTAGCCAGAACAATCCCAGCAGATGAAGCTGCCCACTCTGGATCTCATGCCAGCCTAAGGAAATGAGATGTTTGCTCTTCTTTTATGAGAAAGGAAATTAAAACAGCAACTAATAATTTAGCTGTAGGTAAACTAGAGAGGAATCTCATCAAGTATTCCACAACAGTACAAACAATCCTCCTGGCTCCAGCTGTGAGCACAGGACAAGACAACAGAGCAGGGTGACAGGGCCACCCCACAACAGGGTGTCCACACAAACTCAACAGCATTAATTAATAATTTATAATCCAAAGCCACAAGCAAAGACAGGCCAGTCTCAACACTACCTGAACCACTACAGTCTGAATCACTGACTCCTGAACGGGAGAGCTGATCCTGCTGTGCTTTACATGAACGTTTGAACTACAATGAAAACCACTTTTTCTCCTCTGTGTTCCATTTCCAAAGCCAGATCCAAGAACCACAGGCACTGAGTGGAGCTCAGGTTATGGCATTCCTTAGGGGCACCAGAAATCCTGGTGCGCCTCCTTCAGACCAGGGATTTGAGCTTGCACCCCATTCCTCCAGGGAGGCTTCTGATCCCTCAGCCCCTCCTGTGGTTCCCCTCACCCTGGGCAGCTCCATCCCAGCCCAAACTCTGCTATTAGAATTTAATTTCACTGACTGCTTTTTTCACCCTTAAAAAGGAAACCAAACCCTCACCTATCCATCAACCCCAGACCCCAGTGAGGGATGAAGGCTTAGACCTCTCTGCTATGAAATTCCCAGGGATACACTCCATCCAAGTCCAGTTTTCCTGTCACCCAGCCCTGCTGTCATTTATACTGCTGGAACAAGCCAAATATTACCACAGCTACAACCACCACCGAGGTGCAGGGACCAGGAGCAAGCCAAGAACTCCGGGTTTAATTAGTCTAAGGCAATATTGACTCACAACTGTTTTACCTGGCTGGATTTTTTCCCATACAACCTGTACTGTATAGATTATTCAGGGATGTTTGCAGTCACTATTTTCCTGCCATCCTTTTATTCAGGGATGTTTGCAGTCACTGCTTTCCTGCCATGCCTCTTGCAAAGCCTTTTGCTGGTTATCAAGTCATTTCTATGGGAGCACAGCACCTCCCCTATATTTGGCCATGCTCATAACTCTGTGAAATTGTTTACAGCAAGCCAGATGCAAACAGAGTTCCCAGTGTGATCCTTTTCCCAGTCCTGCTCCAAGGTGAAGCTCGGTCACGTTGCCAAAGGCTGAGAACAGCAAGCTCTAAGGTACAGCCACGGTGACACTCCCAGGCACAGGTCTGGTCACCAGATCCAGCACCAAAAAATGTCTGGCAGAGCAAAAAAACGTGGCAAAGCATCCAGACATTGCAGCAAAAGCAATGGGAGAGCAGATCCAGGTCTGATTTCAGCCCTCAGAGTGGGACTTCCCTTCATGTAAGTGAAAGCTACAGTAAAATAAATGTTCCAGTGATTGAGTTCATCTTCAGAGAAGTGTGTTTTTAGGAACTGCTGTCAATCTGTTTTGGGCAAACATGGTAAGACCTTCTGCTGAATGTCCACGTAACTCACACCCTGAAAACAAAGGATTTACAGTAAAAAACAGAGCGGAGATGAAGATGTTTTCTGAAAACAGAGCAGAGATGAAGATGTTTTCTGAAAACAGAGCGGAGATGAAGATGTTTTCTGCTCCCTCTGAACAGCCACCTCTGCATGGGGTGTCAAGGACTTGGGTGGGATGAGAGGATGCAAGACCAGAGCCAGGAAGCTGCACTGGCTGTATCCCCTCAGAATCATAGAATCATGGGATTGTTTAGGTTGGAAAAGACCTCCAGTATCATCAAGCCCATTAAGCCAGCACTGCCAGGCTCAATATTCCTCTTCAATCCACCTCAGATTCAACCGACAGGCCCTCAAACAAAAGCCATCAAACAGACAAAAAAAACCCCCAAGCAAATAAAAAACCCCCACAACAACAAAAAAACCCCAACCCATGGATGATTCAGGCTTTAAACTTGGTTTGCTTTCATACATTTGCTTTTCAAATTCTTTTCTGAGCTGGAGTTTTCTCGTTCTCATCACAGTGTAAGTGCTGCTTTAATTATGTGTTTGGAAGTTAATTCTCACACTTAAAATCCCATTTTCCACGTCAGTTTTGGTGCAACAAGTCCACGTGGGCAGCCCTTGCTGTAATCTGAGCATTTCTGTAATTGCTTCTCTGAACCAAGGTCCCTTTCCAGGAACAGGCTCTGGTTAAGCTCCACAGGAAGCAGCTCCCTACTCTGCACAAAGTGTGTCCCTGTAGCACTGCAGCATTGCCACTTCTCAGGTGTTTTAAAATGCTGAAGGATCACTTAGATGCCATATTAAGACAACCCCAGGCATGGCTGTACATGACAAACACAATTCCCCTGCAGCACAGGTGAACACCTCCCAGCAGGAACACAAGCCTGGTTTGGTTGGATGTGCCAAAGGTGGTTCAGTGTCCAAGGCACAGCAAGGGCAGAATCTCTGCTCAGCTCCAGGACACAAAGACATTACCCCAGACCCCAAGTCCTTCTGGACTGGCCACCCCAGTGCCCACAGAAGTCTCTGTGTGCTGGGAATGGTGGATGGAAATCCCAAGACACTGGATCTCACCACCCATGCTGGAGCTAAAAGCCACCTTTTCAGCTAAAGCAGAACTTCTCAGACCAAAACCTGTCATCAGTCAGATTTATCTTCTCCTTTGAAAATGAAACATCTGCCTGTTGCCTGTCTTGTTGCTACAATATCTTTTTTTAGAAGACTTGTTTATAAAATTCACATTGTCAAACAGTGTTGAAAGATTCCATGTTTCTGATGCGTTACCATGTTTCTTATCTATCCAGCAACAAACACCCTGATCATCCAAAGGCAGGTGCCAGACACACTGCTCAGCACCATCACGAGTTGCAGCCACACTCTGCCACTTCTCCAAGACTTTACTGGCTGACCACTAAATAAACCAAATTAATTGGGCTCTGATCAGTTAAAACACCCCCAGCTGCAGAGCACATGCACTATTTATACCCAGAGATCTAAGGGCTCCCACCAGACATTCTGATGTCCCCCCAGCACGGGGGGACAGCTTGGGGACAGCTCTGAGGGCACCAGGCACTTGCCTTTAAAGCCATTTGGCAGCTCCCTGTTCTTGCTGCCACAGAAACATCGATCACAGTCCTACCCACGGAGACCTTTGGCTTTTCTAAAAGTCTTATTTAATTATTTATCGCTGCTTGCTGAATAAAACATGGCACTTTCTGCAGCTGAGGGATCCTCACACGTGGGATTTCCAGGCCAGACCTTCCCCAGGCACAACGTGTGCTCACGGCTGGGGAGCGGGATGAGGCTCCTTGGAGGGGAAGGGGGAGAAGAACCCTGAATATCTGGGCAGTTGGCTGGAAAGTAAATTTAAAAAATATTAATGGAAGGATCCATAAGATAAGAATGCACCCTGGGGGACACAGGAATGATCCCAGAGATGTGTATTTCCTGATAGTGCTTTGCACCAGACTTTCTTCATAGGGCATCAACTTTTGGCCAAAAATCTGTGCTTACAACACTAATTTAAGCTCACTAAGATCACGTTATAGCTGGTTCTATTCCTGTTGTGCTTGTCAAACACACATTTCCAAGCCATCTGTTGGCACTGCTGGCACTGGTTGTTGTAAATGCTCAATACAGACATTTAAGGAAACATTTAAGGAAAACTTTAGTCATTTCTGTGTTTCCAGCACCTGACCTCGAAGCTTTGCCCTGTTCTGCTCTCATCCCAAGGCTCCTGTTTTCCCAGATGATGTCACCCTGACAAGCTTTTTGGATTCAATTAAACATAGCAAAGACTGACACTATTTGCACCAAAATCAAGTGCAACTTTCAGCTCCAAATTGCTCTGAAGTCCTGAATCTGTGCAAACCCAGGTATTTCCATGGCAACGGCCAGGACATCAGGAGGGAAGGGGATGATATTTTGGCAGCAGAGAGGGGAGGTTGGGTGGGGAGGAAGGAGGACTGAGGCACATGGACTGAAGGGAGATGTGAAGAAGGGGAAAAGCAGCACAAAACCTGCTCTGGGGATGAAGGATCTAGCCAGGGGTTTCTGGAGCATGAGAGCACTCGTGCACCCCTTTGCTTTTATCTTTAAAAGGAGAGGAAATGGTCCCCAGTGATCAGTGATGCTCTTCAGAGCAGATCGATGCAGGCAATCCAGAAATGCTGCATAAAGGATATCTGTTTACTCCTAGTAGAGGAACAGCTGAAAAGGGCTGCCCTGGGTGCTTAAGAGACATCAGAAGGTCCTTCTGCAAACAGCAGCTTTCATTACCAACCTGCAGCTCATCATCCTCATTTCATCCTCATCTTCATCTTGCCTGAGCACTTTTGACAGCCACACAAAAGCCTTTTTCTTTTTTTTTTTTTATGAACTGGCTTTGAGAGCATTTAAAGCTCTCAACATTAATTTTTCAAATCCTAGTAACATTAAATTAATTTACAATTTTCTACCAATCCAGAAGGAAATAGCTGGCACTGATGCCCGCAATCTGATATTTTGGAACCACGGGCACATAGAAAAACAAACCCATGATGCAAAAATATTGCTCTTACCAGTGATTTGTGTTATTTAGCCACAAACCAGACAACGTGGCTGCAAAGTGGGGGCTTCGTTTAAAGGGTGGGAGGAAGAGACTCACTGTTGTCCCCATGACACACGATGAAGGAATTAGTCAACAGCTACACAGTGACAACCATTCAAACTATTAAAAACAAACAATATATCTGATAGAAGACAAGCAGGCTGTGGTCAAACCAAATTTTTAAAAGAATTCTAAGAACAGGCAGCAAAATGTTCAATCCAAGCTCAGCGGTTACTGACAAGTAAAGAACTAAAGCTGCTTGCTGAGTGGCAAGTTAAATATAAACTAAGTTTTTGCAGAAGAATAACCAAGATGACTGTTTACTTTCATATTCCATTCAGCTTTTCACTCAACTCGTTTTCCAGGCACACACAGCACAGGTGTATTGCACTGGTAACACCTGCTTCCCCACCCACCCCTCTGTGCAATGCAATTACCTGGAGGTGGTTAAAAATAGACCTCCTCTTTTAAAAACGAAACTTGTAAAAGAAGGGGAGGAGCACAGGCTCAAGGAGAATATTTGTAGTCAAAAACCCACACTCCTTCAAGCCTGGGTATTTCAGGCTCTGGATTTGTAAAGAAGCCTCATTCCACTTGATAAAAGCTCTAAAAAAAAAAAAATAAATCAGAGAATATTGGTTATGCTTCTTATCCTGCACAACAGGAAACAGGATTCCTTACAAAGTCAGACTTCTCTCCCTCCCTTGCAGCCTGCTGACAAATAGTCAATTCTGCAGCTTCTGGGCTTAGTTTGATTTATTGTGACCATATGGGGAGGGGGAGAGGAAGGAGACGGTGACAGATAACACAACTCATCTCAACATGTACAACCACTGCAGCGCAGGACTGCTTCAAAATAAAATGCATTAACCATGGCAACAGCCCAATAGCGAGGGCTGCTGGCTCACACAGTGCTCTGGGTAATGTCAGTTTACTGTTGATCTCCCTGCTCGGATCAGACCTTGCCTTCCCAGTGTTTTACTCACTCAGTTATGGCACTGGGATGGCAGATGTGGCACAGCTCCCCAAGGATGATCCCTGGCTGTCCCCTGTCTCAGCAGAGTTCACCTGTACTGAGGGCCCCAGCAGCTCACACAGAGCCATGGCTGAAGCAAAACCAGACATGGTCTAGTGACATGACAATACACAGGTTTGTGGAAGGTAAAAATTCTGGGAGTGGGAAAAAAAAACCAAAACAGGAGGTTTCTGCAGTTGGCCCTTTCTACTGCTCCCTGGAGTCTGCACAAGCTCCTGACTTAACCTGGGGTCAGTTTAGGAGAGGAAGAAAAACCAAAAGCATGAGCAAAACAGGCCTAATGAGTAGGGAGCAACAGACACAAGAATGTCCCACCTGCTCCCAGTTTCAGGAATGCTGCTAAATAATTAATTACATAATCTACAGGATCATGTTTCCCCAGGTTTTTTAATTCCTACCAGAACAAAGCCCAGGTGGAGAGCACAGAGTGTGGGTTCCCCGTGGAATTCCCCCACCTGTGTGGCTGTGGGCACCAGGCAGGCAGAAACCGCAAAGGAAGGGCAACCATGTAGGCAACCTGTGTAGGCAGAGAACCCACATCCCCACCAACATCCCAAGGTGGAGTCCAGAGTGATGGGACCGCAAGGAAAAAGTCCGTGCTCTCCATCAGCACTAACGGGCTGCTGGAGAGATCCCAGAGTGTGTCAAACACCCCCACCACAGCACCAGGGCAGAAAGGCTTTCCCCACGCACCCCTCCCTCCTTCAGGCTTTACTAACATTCACCAAACCCACGTTTACCTCCCCAAATGCCAGTGGGAAGGATATGTCACAAGCCCAGCTCTGCTCCCTGAGGCACAAGCTGCACCTTCTCCCAGCACACAGCC